TCCGTGGATGTCTGGGGCTCTGAGTGCTGCTCCAAGGGGAAGTGGAAGGAAGCTTCTGAGTTGGGAGGCACTGGGACTGCTGAGTTTGTCGCCTTTAATCTAATAGACTAGACTGTTGGTTGGTTCAGTTAGCTTCATTTTGAAATATTTATTTTCCTGTTTAAATATTTATTGATGTGTGAGATGGCAAAGCTCAGCCTTGGGGGAGAAGTTTGTATTGTCAGTTCTCTCTGAGTCAATGTGTGTGTGTGTGTGTGTGTGTGTGTGTGAGAGAGAGAGAGAGAGAGAGAGAGAGAGAGAGAGAGAGAGAGTTGATTTAGAGGTAAGCCTGCAATGTGCCCTAACTTCTATCATTTATTTTTATTCTAAACTTGGAAGTAAACATACTATATGGCCTCTTTATTTTTATTGTATTGACTGTTGAGTAGTGCCTGAGATCCAACTGATGCCTTCAGCATTTCACGTGGAAGCAACACACTCAACCTTCCGTAGGTCCAGTCTGTTAGTTCCTGAAGATCTATTAGGCCCACAGTTTAGTAACTTTGCATTTCATGGAAAAGATAGTGTTTGTTCTCTGTGTCGACGCCATGAAGAAGCTGGTACTCTGCTTGCAGGGAGTGTGCTTTTGCTGTCTCCCTCTTCTTTCTTCTCACCAACACTCTTCTAGAAGCACAGCACTGCCAGGTGCTTTCTGGGGAGATAGTCTCCCTTTTTCACTCTAAAGCAGCGCCTCTGAATAACAGGAAGTGTTAGCCCCTGCATCCCGCTATCACATCCCACCAAATGCTGCTTTGCTGGGAAGAGATAGCAACTCCTACTAGATTTATAAGCATAGTTCCTGAGTAGGGGATTAAGGCCAATAAAATATGGACATACCTGCTGTCAGGAAAGAGGTGAAGTACAGGTTTGTGGAAGTGGAGACACTGGTTCCTGACCTGTGGGGTCAGTGTCCTTGCTAACTCTTGAGACTGCAGCAGGAAAAGATCCTTGATTGAAATTAAATAACAATTCCATTAATTTTTCAGTGGTAGTAGATTTTCCTGTTAGTAGGCTCTTTATTATATAATTGGTTAGTCTGATTTTTGTGAGTCTTTTAAGGATTGCAGCCATTTATTTACCAAGTGCCAAAAACATAAATTAAAGAAAAATAAAAACTCTCAGATTTTCACCTAGATGTAAAAATTAAGAGTTTCATGGAGATGCCATGTTTAGATATGCCTCTGAAGCTATGCAAGTTACCTTACAGCTTACATCTTTGGCTAGAATTACTCTTTTCTAAGCTTTACCAGAAATATTTTAGGATTAGACATCAGCACTTTTACTGTGTGTATCAGGATGTGAAACTTCGTTATGAGCAAGGAAACTGTACTTGCAGCCCCTCCCTCTAGCTTTTTCAGGTAGATAAAAAAATAAATAAATAAAATAAAAAGAGTACATTAGGTAACTTGACTAATTTTAGATTTTTTTTAACACAGAATATTTTAGATAACTAAGAGGTTTGAGAGTGGTGCAGTAGCTTTAAATGTGTAGCTAAGAGCAAAATTGATTCTGCTGTAAGTCTAGCACATTACCATTGTTTTGTCTTCCATGTGTAATTAGCTGGTTTATTCTTCTGTATTTTCTTCATCATTTTTGTGTCAACCACTTTTAAATGGTTTTATGCATATGGATGTTTTGCCTGTATACGTGTCTGTGTACCACATTTGTGCCTGGTGCCCCTGGGAGGCAAGAAGAGGTGTTGGAGCCTCTGGGGCTGGATTTATAGACAGGTGTGACTTGCCTGGTGGGTGCTTGGCATTGAACTTGGGTCTTCTAGAGGAGATTTGGGTCCTGGGCTTTACAACCACTCTTTAAGTTGATTCTAGATTTTCTCTCTTTATGTGTGTGTGTGTGTGTGCATTTGTAGGTGTGTGGATGTTCGTATGAAGGGGTGCACCTATCTGTGACAATGCATGTGGAGGTCAAGACTCTTCCTCACTTGCTCTCCACTGAATCCTTTGAACTGGGGTTACACTCAAACCCAGTGCTTGCAGACAGGACCAGCCTAGCTATTCAGCATGCTCTAGGGATGCGTATCTGCTCTCAAGCCCGGAGTAAGAGGCCAGCCACCAAGACAACCAACCATTACTGGGTTCTGAGGTTCTGAACTTGGACCCTCACACTTGCATGACAGGTTCAGTGGTGGTTGAGCCGTTTCCCCAGCCCTGCTTCCAGACTTTAAATCTGTAGCTCTTTCCTTATCTTTCTGTGGTAACAATTAGACAATGCTTTGCTTCTTTTGTCATAGCCACGGGCAAAATTCACTTCACCAACGGATTTAACTAATAGGCCTCTTTATTCAGGCTCCCAGCTGAGAGCTTTTCATATGTCTTTTTTGGTGTACATGTGTGCAAGGACGCACACATGCATATATGTCTGTGTCTGTGGGTGTGTACACATACATGCCCTTCTGTATATGTGCGTGCCTGTGGAGGCTGTAAGTTGACACACAGTGTCTTCTTCAGCTGCTTTCTGCCTTAGTTTTGAGACAGGATCTCAACTGTAACCTGAGACTCACGATTTGGCAAGACTGGCTGACCAGTAACCCCACCGTTCCTCCGGTTTCTGCCTCCCTGGCCCCAGGTCCTCCAAAAACTGAGCCATCTTCCCAGTCCTGTTTATTAATTGGGTTTAGAAAGACAGGCCAAGTTTGAAAGCTGAGCCTACCTAAGCAAATCCCCAGGAATAAAAGTGACATTTAAAAAATGCTAAAAGGAAAATATTTTTGGTATCCTAGTTAAACTTGGGGGATATTCTTCTGCGTGCTTACTTATTTTTATGATGGAGAGACTGTGGGAGTGGGGCGCCTTTAGGATTTGTAGCCTGCTCTTTTAGATTACATCTGTAAATTGGAGTCGGGATGACCGAACGGGAAAATGAATGGAAAGACAACAATAAAAATACCTTCTCTTTCTTCCTAGAAAGATGATGATAATGATTCACTTTTCCAGGTGCTTAGCCTAGAATATAAAGCATGTGGGGGCCAGAGAGATAACTCTTAGTAAAAAGTTGGTACTGGTTGGCCTCTGTCAGCTTGACACAAACTAGAGTCACCTGGGAAGAGGAAATCTCAACTGAGCGATTGCCTCTAGCAGACAGACCTGGAAGCATGACTGTGGGCCATTTTCTTCATTAATGATCGGTGTGGGAGGGCCCAGCCCACTGTGGGTGGTGACACCCCTGGGCTGGTGGTCCTGCCTTCTGTAAGAAAGCAGGCTGAGCAAGCCATGAGGAGCAGGCCAGTAAGCAGCAGCTCTCCATGGCCTCTGCAGCAGCCCCTGCCTTTAGGTTCTTACCTCTGGAAGATCAGCCAGTGCTCCTGACTGCTGAGCCATTTCTTAAGCCCTACAGACTAAATTGCTTCTAGGTTGTATTTCTTATCTATCTTGGTTTTTTCGTGTGTGTGTGTGTGGTGTGTGTGTGGTGTGTGTGGTGTGTGTGTGGTGTGTGTGGTGTGTGTTAGTTAGGTACACATACCTGTGGGTGCAAATGGATATGTGTGCACATTCATGTGGAAATCCAAGGTTGGTGACTGAAGTGGTCTTCTTCACTCGATTAAGTCAAGTACACTGCTTCCCTCCCTTGTAGACAAACTGTAAAGTGCAAGGGCCTCTTTCCTCCTCTAGGTTGGTTTTGTCCCAGCAATAGAAAGTAGCACATTGGTCTTTCAGAGAATCTGAGTTGAGTTTCTAGCACCCACAACAGACAGCTCACAACCACCCATAACTCCAGCCCTCTTCTGGCTTCTGTGTGCATATACACAGATACATGCATACACACATAAATTTTGAAAATAATACAAATATTTCATTTAAGTAGAGGTAATCATATCAAATCTGATAGGTTGGGTAGGAGCCAGTGTACTTCCATTAAACTTAAGAATGGACTGAAAATTGACTAGAAAACATTCTTATTTTGTTTTTCATTATTAAGAATGTTAAGTAACTTCATATTTCTACTAAAAACAAAACCATAATATATTTGGCAGAGCAAATGCTATAAAACATAAAGCTTTTTCCCAAGTCTATTCTCTTAGCATATAGACAGTTGTTTCATTTTTAGCAAAAATTTTTTGAAAAGTGTTGCCGTCAGTCACATCTCTCTAAGTAAAAAGTATTCCTGACCTCCTGTGGAGGATTGCACCCCTCATATGGAAGACAGGGCCCTACTGTGGTTGCAGCCTGCTGTGCTTAGACTCCAAGTGTACCCAAGAAACATTACCTTTCTCCCTCTCTCCCACCACTAGTTGGTGTGTTCATTCAGTTGACTGAGCCAGCGCTGTCAGGAATGGGCCTGTAGGATGATTTGTACTGTGGACTTGTGTACCACTGTCTCATTCCCATCAGGGATGGGGCAGAGAATGGAGGTTAGAGTTCATGAAGAACCAGAGACAAGTCCCTTGGCCACTAATCTGAACTTGGAAACTATCTTTAAGCCTCGTGTGTTTCTTGGTGGACCCTTCCTGCAGATTTCTGAAAGGCGGTGCTTAGGCTCTGCTCACCTGTCAGTCCCCCTGAATCTGAAGTTTTGCCCGCTGAACAGCAGTCTCCAGGACAGGCAGTCCTCTAAAGGCCTGAAAGTAGTGTGTTCTGCCAGCTACGGGTACAGGCAGAGCGCCAAATGATTTGGAAGAGAAGATCAGGTGTTAAACTCTGGGCTGCCAAGATGGCTCAGCAGGTAAAGGTGCTTGTCACCAACTTTGAGTTCTATCCCAGGACTCATATCAAGGGAAGACATAGAATCAGGTTGTCCTTCTGCCCCTACGTGTATCATAATTCTCACAAGAGTACCACAGGGAAACACTCACATATAAAATGAAGCAAATCAGTCTGTTTTGTTTTGTTGAAGGTGAGTTATCTGACAGAGAGCATGCTAAGAGTCCTGCATACTTCACCTTGAAAGTCATCTGATAATGAAGATTTATTTGCTCACCCTTCTTTCTCTTTTGTTGCTTACTCTAGGGTAACCAGGAGCCAACAACAACTCCTGACGCAATGGTTCAGCCTTTTACCACCATCCCGTTCCCACCACCTCCACAGAACGGAATTCCCACAGAATACGGAGTGCCCCACACTCAGGACTATGCCGGTCAGACCAGTGAACATAACCTGACACTCTACGGGAGTACACAGCCCCACGGGGAGCAGAGTAGCAATTCACCCAGCAACCAGAATGGATCTCTCACGGTATGTGAAGTAAGAGCTGCAAGCCAGAGGGATGTGTGAAGTCTCCACCTTTCTCAGAGGACAGAAAGAAAGCCCTTTGAGTTAGTGAGCATTTTGTATTCCGTTGCACAGCAGGCGCGTACTGGCTGTTCTTCCCTAAGCCTTGTGGCTAGACAATGGGGAATTTTGATTTAAACCTCACCTCCTGCCCCAAAGCGGCCTTCCTGCACCTTCCAGTGTACGTATCCTCAACACCCAGTTCTCACCTGCACAGCCTCGCAGCATCTGCCTCACACTGCCTCCTCCCTGTTCTCCAGCGCTCTAGGCCATTTGACTTGGTTTTCATACTCAGCAATGTATGTTCTGATGGGTCCTCCTCCTCTTGTTCACATTTCAGGTGTTGCAGTGTTCTGGGTTTGAGTCCTGAAACCCCTTTTTCTCATTTTATAGGCCTTCTCTGTATACTTATACCACCAGGTCACCCAGTCAATTATGTAAAAACCAGGCATCGCTGGCTCCTTACCCTTCCTTTCTGCCCTTAGGCATCACGGAGTAAAGCAGCACAGTTCCACAGCGCTCTTCATCTTCCCAGCTCTCTTCATCTTCCCTAGGCAGAGCTTAGCTCTTCTGCCACTTGTTTAGGGTTGGTTCAGGTGACTTGAGTCTAAACCATAGCCTGGCTCCAGAAGAATGATTTTAGGCAAGTAATTTAATGTTCCTTTGCCTTGAAATGGAAGGAAATGAAGGTCATAGTGCCTACCTCAAAAGCTGTACGGAGCATTACAAGTATTTCTGATGGGCCTGGTGGCACAGGCTTGTATCCTTACAGCCCAGGAGTCTGAGGCAGGTGGATTGCCATAATTCAAGGCCTGGAGCTACAAAGGGAATTCAAAGCCAGCATTACTCCACTCTCAAGCTACCCCGGCTTCAGTTTTCTTTCTTTTCTTTTTTAGCATAATATTTTTATTGATTATTTGGAGATTTCATATAATGCACCCTGATCACACTTACTTCCAGTCCTCCCAGGCCCACCCCCACCCTTGTGACCCCATCCCCACCCTTGTGACCCCGTCCCCTCCCCCCAAGAAAAGAAAAAGCAATTTCAATTTGTGTTGCCCATATACTCATTAGAGCATGGTCAAACCCCCAGTGGCTAGACCTTTAAAGAAAACTTGAGTCCTTCCCCGCCTGCGTGCGCGCACACTGCCCACCCCCGAGCGCACACTGCCCACCCCCCAACCCCAGAAGCCACTGGTTGTAGAGAGCTCTTCAGCATCCGTATCATAGTTTTTAAGAGCTCTCTACAATGGTTTCCTGTCTAGGCTACATAGCAGCCATGATGACTTTGTTTTCTATGCTATGTGTGTTTCTGCCTAACTCTTTAACAAATAATTTTTTAGCACAACTAGAAAAATGTCCAAACTGTATACTTGGTTTTCTAGTCCCTAGGTCCAAACCACCTTTTACCTCACCCTTACTGCTTAATAAAAGGGGGGGGGGGGGAGGTCCCAAGCTAACCACAGATGCGTGTCTCACATATCTATAATCACCACATCATATTATCTGTAGGGTTTGATTCCAAATGTGAAAATGTTCTGTCGTCTATATCGAGCTGTTTCTCATGTTTATATCTCATTTTTCCTTGGTATCAGATTAGTAGAGGGGCACGTTATTCAGACTTCAAGCATCTGGATAAGATTCACTTCCAGAAACTAAAATCTGCAGTGTATGAAGGTGGGCAGAAGGTGGTGTGAAGGCATTCGTTTTATTTTTATAGATATTAGGCACCTCCATCGGAGGGAAATAACCTTGCAAACAAGCTATCTTTCCAGTTACTTCTCTGTAGGCACATACTCTTACACCCGTAAGTAATGGACTTTAATGGACATTTGTATTGAAGGAAGAGTCTAGATCTGGGAGGTAACAAGAGGCTTCTTGTAGCATTTGTTCAGGACATGGAATGTACAGGCTGCTGTGTCAGCCATGTTCCAGTTACTTTTCAAATGGCAATGAATTCACAGACTTACTAGGACAGCTGTTTCTACCAAAGGAATAAAAAGGAAAAAAATAATATGTTTCTGAGCCTTTTTATGGTATTTCAACTTCAAACCCTATTTCTAGACTAGTTAATGGTGTTGTAATTGCTGTCTCCATTTCTATTTTTTTGGTAGTTTTGGTTTTGGGCTGTTTTTTTTTTTTTTGGGGGGGGGAACTATTTCCTCTGAGTCGATAATTTCATTAATCTAAAACTACGAGGCATATAAGTCAGCTGATGAGTACTTGCCTTACACCCACGAAGCCCTGGGTTTGATTCCTCAGAACTGCATGAAAGCAGGCATGGTGGTGCATGCCTTCAGGGGTGGGGGAAGAGGGTCAGATGTTTAAGGTCATTCCTGGGGGCCTAGGTAATTTGAGGCCAGCTTGGGCTACATAACTTATCATAACATATGACCTCTATTTATTTTCTAGAGTTTATAATAATACTTTCTTTTTTAAGACAGAGTCTTGTGGCGTACACCCTGATGGATGGGAATGTCTAATGAGTGAATCTTTTCCTATCATGTGCTGAGATTACAGGAGTAATCTCTCTCTCTCTCTCTCTCTCTCACACACACACATACATACTTTTTTTTTTTTAAAGACAGGATTTTTCTATGTAGCCCTAGCTTGCTTGGAACTTGCTATGTAAACCAAACTGGCCTGGAGAACTTACAGAGATCCATCTGCCTCTGTCTCCCAAATCCTGGGATTAAAGGCATGTGCCTCCATGCCTGGCTCGTCTTTGATAATTTATGTCTCCTCTGGTCAGTCTACAAATTAAGACTTGTATTTGTTTCTGTAAAGATGTGGGAATTTGTTCACGCGGTGCACATACATACCATACATGTGTATATCTGTGTGTGGAGGCTAGAGAACAAACCCAGGCGTGCTTCTTCGGGAGCTGCCCATCTTGTTTTATCCTTGGTGCGGAGCTCACCACTTAGGTGGGCCAACAGACCTCTCCAAAGCTGGGATTACAGGCATCTACTGTTATGCTTGGCTTTTTCACTTCAGTTCTAGGGACTGAATTCAGATGCTCACACTAGCAAGGCAAGCACCGTACCCAGCTGAGCTGTCTCTCCAATCCCAAGGCTTACCATCCCATTCTGACCTTCAATATCTTGTCCCCTCCTGTGTGTGACTCCTCCTTTACATTTTATCTGTTGGATCTCTTCCTACATGTCTGTATCACATGTATGCATTCCCCTCAGAGGCCAGAAGGGAGCCTCAGATACCCTAGGCCTGGAGTTATATATGGTTGTGAGTTGCCATGTGGGTGCTGGCACTCTAACCCAGGCCATCTGGAAGAGCAGCCAGTGTCCACACTGAGCCATATATCTCCAGCCCTTTTTTAAGTTTTCAAGTTAGAAGCTAAGGCAATTGATTTTCAGGGTTTCTTCCTTCTGTGTTTAAGCTGCAAGTTTCCCTTTAAAAATCCTTTCAAGTAGAAGTCAAAAAAGCAGGTAGATTGTGCTATTATTTTCATTTCAAGACATTCTTAAAACTTCCTTAGTTTCAGGCTAGGCAGTGGTGGTGTACACCGTTAGTTCTAGTACTTTCAGGAGGCAGAGGCAGGCAGATGAGTTCAAGGCCAGCCTGATCTACATAGCAAGTTCCAGGACAGTCAGGGCTACACAGAAAAATCCTGTCTAGGAAGAAGTGGGGATTGGGGGTTTCCCTCAAATCTTGCTGCTTTATTGACTTGTTTGTAAATTGATTTGTTCCCACTATTAATCTATATAGCTGTAGATACAGATTTCTTATTGGTTGTGATATTTTCCATTAATTCTTTATCTATACTTGTATTTGCTGTGTTGGCATCATGTGCAATCCAGCATCTGGGCCTGGGTCCGTTTCTGTTCACTGCTCATGTTTTGAATCTGGGTCATCCTTTGCACTTTTCAACTCTCTGTAAGTGACTCTGTCTTGTTTGTTTTCTAAGAGAGAGTGTGTGCACGTATGTTCTGAGTAGTTTGCCCACAGTAGAACTTGCAAGGACACTATTGTTTCTGCCTGGTAATGTTCCTATTCTCTCTCTGTTCATTCTCATACATCCCACTCATCCCCATCCCCATCCCCATCCCCATCCCCATCCCCATCCCCATCC